TTATTGTCTCTAGTCGTTCATCTAAAGCTTTCTAATGTAACGGTTGCGACTCGAGGAGGCGTCGTCTGATTGGTCGCCTCTGCCTGGAAAACGTGATGCGATTGGCTACAAAATTAACTCATTACAAACGCTAAAGATAGATAGATAGATAGATAGATAGATAGTTCAGCTGTTTATAGTATGATATGAATCTTTTCTGCAATAGCAAAACAAAAAATAAGATATGATCATGTTTTGCAATTCCCTGAAATATGATATAATTTTGTTTGAAATGGGTAATGCTATGCCTTCCTTTTAATTGTTCATATTGTGTTAACTTTTCATCAATAAAAACAGAAAAAAACTGTTTTTATAAATAACATTGTTTATTGTCACTTGATGCAAGAATGCAGTATACTTGGCTTTTGATAATTTTCTACAGCAGTTATAAATCCAGAATGAAAAAATGTTTTAGAACAAAACATAAAAGCAGTATATTCCTGTTTTACAAAAATAAACAAAACTTTTGTACATTCAGTAAATGTCCTAAGCAGTCTTATGACTTTGCACAACTTTCAAGTTTATGTAGGTTTAAACTGACAAATTACAACATTGAACATTTAAGATAGTAAATATACTACCCATACAGTAAACATACTTCAAGTTTTAAACATTGACGTTAAGCTACAAGGAAAGACCAAAAACAACTTCTGGGCACTTTACCGTTGTTATAATTTTTATACATATGCACATGTTCTGCTTTTATTATTCCCAACTTTCGGTTATTTTCTAGTTAAACATCTTGCTCAGTCTTTGACCAAGTTTACTGTCCAAGTCCTTTAATCTGTTGTTCACTTGTTTCAGAGCAGTGCGAGCTGATTCAGAATCAGGTTGGAGTTCCAGAATCTTTCCAAAGGCCATGCGAGATTCCTCCAGTTCGCCCAGCTGCAGGCAAGCTTGCCCAAGTTGGTACCAGGCCTTAGTGCTCTTTGGGTTCAGCTCAGTGGCCTTGATACTGCTGTCTCTGGACTTACCAAGCTGGCCTGACTTGAGTTGGCATAAAGAAAGATTGCAGTGAAGTTCTGCTTTTACAGTTTTGTACTCTTCTTCAGTTGGAATGGAGACATCAGCACATTCTGCCTGCTCATTTTCTTTATCAAAGCATGGTGTCAAAGCTGCATCATCATCATCCTCTCCATCCACACCTTCTTTAAACGTCTCGTCCACTGGCTTTCTTCTTGTCTTGCCATTTAAAGTTATTGCCAGCTTCACCGCTCTGCAGTAGCAGTCTGTCGCACCCCAGATATCGCCATTCCCAAATCGCTGACCACCCCTTTGCTTGTGAGACAGCACCCAAGTCCATTTCTCTCCAGGTGTCATCTGCCAAGACTCCTGTCCAGGGGTTAAAGAGTGAAGCTGGACTGTAAAGCAGTCAGACTGCTGAGACGATCCCTGCTCTGTTGTATTTTCAGTCTGTGTACCATTAGCATCACTGCCTGCTGCTTTAGAGTTCTTTGCATTCCAGGCACTTATTGTAAACTGCACAAAAAACAAAACAAAAAAGTTTATAGATGAGATGTGTTTTCCCATGATAAACATACAGTGCTGGTAAATTAGTAACAAAATGTAGTTCTTTACTGAACACAAATTACATGTTGAAGCTTGTAGTTAGTAACGTAATCCATTACATTTAAATAATATAATCTGTCTACTGTTTGATTACTTTTACATTTTTTTTGACCTAACTCGTTTATTACATTGATTTGAGTAGGATGATCTTGAACCATATAGATATAAAAGTACAAAGAAAAAGAAAATGTATTCCATTCTTTGTTATCTACAAATTTAAGTAAGTTAAACATTATATTACATCAGGTTTTCCTAAACTGGGGTTTATGAAGGAGTGAAGCTAATAATTAATTAAATCTTAAAAATGTTAAATTGAAAGAAATAAAATAATTTTTTAAAATAAAATCAATCAAATTAAATGAATGAAACATTAAATATTTTATTTGTTTATGCTGTGAGGTCTCTCCATTTTCTGTGTAATTATGCTTGACTAGTGTGTATTTGTGCAATTCCACAAAACTGGAAAACTTTCTTAATATATACACTACCAGTCAAAAGTTTTTGGACAGTAAAATTTTTCATGTTTTTTTAAAGAAGTCTCTTCTGCTCACCAAGCCTGCATTTATTTGATCCGAAGTACAGCAAAAACAGTCAAATATTTTCTATTAGAATATATTTTAAAATGTAATTTATTCCTGTGATTTTAAAGCTGAATTTTTAGCATCATTACTCCAGTCACATGATCCTTCAGAAATCATTCTAATATTCTGATTTGCTGCTCAGAAAACATTTATTATTATTATTATTATGTTAAATACAGCTGAGTAGAATTTTTTCAGGTTTCTTTGATGAATAGAAAGTTCAGAAGAACAGCATTTATCTAAAATAAAATATTTTGTAACATTAACAATGTCTTTATCATCACTTTTGATCAATCTTTGATCAAATCTTCTAAAGCATCTTTGCTAAAAAAAATAGTTTTAATTTCTATAATTTCTTTCCTAAAAAAATTATATTGACTCCAAGCTTTTGAATGGTATAGTGTATAATGTTACAAAAGCTTTTTATTTCATATAAATGCTGATCTTTGGATCTTTCTATTCATCAAAGAATCCTGAAAGAAATGTACTCAACTGTTTTAAATATTGATAATAATAATAATAATAATAATAAAAGTTTCTTGAACAGAAAATCAGCATATTAGAAGGATTTCTGAAGGACACTGACACTGAGGACTGTAGTAATGATGCTCAAAATTTAGGTTTGATCACAGGAATAAATTACATTTTAAAATATTTTCAAATTGAAAGCAGTTATTTAAAATAGTAAAAATATTTCACAATTTTACTTTTTTTTGCCATATTTTGGATCAAATAAATCCAGGTTTGGTGAGCAAGAGAATTCTTAAAAAAAAAACATTAAAAATCTTACTGTTCAAAAACCTTTTTTTTTTTAGAAAAGAAGATAGATAGATAGATAGATAGATAGATAGTAAAGAATTAGGGAGAATCAATGAATTTTGAATGACTGCCACTGTGAATATTAAGTAATCATGTCATCAATAAAAATTTAATTAGTCTGAATATGAGTATTTTAAAACGTAATATAATGTAATTACACAGTATTACTTTTTGGAATTTGATTATGTAATCCAGATAAAATCAGTTACAACCCAGCACTGTATGCATAATATAGTTAATATATGTCAGCTTTTCTGTAAGTTACATTACCATATACAGTGAAAAGTATATTACATTTTATGATTAAGTAACAATTTCTCTGTAATTTTTTTAGAAAAAATAATATGATTTTGATTTAGGGTGAAAAAATATATTTAATTTAACAATTAATTTAATAAACAGTAAAATACTGTTAAAATTCTCCAGGTCCAAACCTGCTTCTGGAGGGCCAACGTCCCCAACACATCTACCTGGAAACTTCTAATAAGCCAGGACTGTGGGAACCCAGACAATTGTTGAAAGAATCGCCTCGACTAGCTGTGTCAGGTGGGATTCAGCTTAAACTCTGCAGGACAGTGGCCCTCCAGGAGCAGGATTGGACACCCCTGGTCTAAGTCTATATTTTAGCTTTGCCCTCACCTCACACATCTCTCCAGCCCTCATCCCTTCCAGGCAGCCCTCTGTAATGTCACACTGCCCTTCGCCCATGCGCAACAAGCACCACTCATCCAGTGGAAGCTGCAGCACAGAGTCCTGCGAGCGGGGGTATGAGGTAGCTTGCCCGCTAGAATCAACGCTGGCTGTTGATTCCTGCTCTTGAGAAGCAGTACGTAGTGTGTTTCCCTCCATGACAGTACTTCGCTGCACCTTGACCTTACATAGTGAGCCCATCATCGGCGTGATGTCCCCTCGTTTTCTTTCTCCAAGCCACCTTCGGCACACCTCCCACAGACCACCGGGACACACGGAGATCCACGACGTCTCACCTGGAACAGGCACTTGGACTGTTGTCATGATGATGGGTTTTAAAAGACCTGAACATAACGAAAACAATTAAATGCAGACTAACTTTACATGGGTGTTGCCTATCAAAGCACTGTGATGCAAAGTCTTCGTTTTAAACCTAGCGCATCTATAGCCTCAAATTGCATGCGTTTTTAAAATAGAACACATTTGCAATGACACTTCACAATTTATTATATCACACATTTGTGAACTCGTGTACCTACTTAAGTGCTCGTTGTCGCTGTGAGAGTCTCTTCTTCTACAGCAAATATGTCACAATGAACTGAAGGTCTTCCATCGCCCTCTAAAGGTGCGGCGTGTGAAGTTTACATTTGTACACTGATACTGCTATAGATGTCTCTCTTTGGTGCAATCCGAGGTGTCAATAACTACATGCAAAGTTTCCTTTAATGAAGTTTCAATATGCCCTGGTACAATCATGACTAATTAACGATATGTATACTCTAGAGTACAAAGAAATATATAATACTGTATGCAAAGATAAATGTGCAAAAGCTTAAAATTATAAACCAATGCTTTCAGAATTCTGTCTGAAAGAGTAGCCTATAGACTACAGCTTTATCAATGGAAACTTGCAAATATTATCAACAGACTTTTCTGACATTGGTTTTTAAACCTATATTTTAAAGAAAACGTTATCTACAAGGAGTTTTAATGGGAAAATATCGTTACATTGTAAACCTTAACACAGAGAATTGTTAATTGTGATTTACCATATAAAATGAAAATCTTTATTTAATGAGACCACACTTAAAACCTCTATAAAATAAACAAGATATAATAGTTTAGGGTGAATATACAGTGGGTACGGAAAGTATTCAGACCCCCTTCAACCATGGTACTGAATGATTACCGTTCGTGGTATTTACATGGAAATACAAGGTACTTCAAAGAACAAAATACTTGTTTGTTGGTGTTTGGACTGAGCTGGGTAATGAGTGTCGTTCATGGCACAAGAATGCAAGAATGGCCTTTATGGCCAGAGGGGGCGCGCTTGATAGTATCGTCTCTCGACGCTGAGCTGTTTCCTGGGTGCATCCGCGTCACGCACAGACGGGCCAGTGCTGTGTGAGAGAGAGAGGCAGGGCTGGGGGCTGGGGCACAGTTTAGAGCACGTTCAGTTGACAGGCGTCGCCGTTGCTACTCGATTCCGATAACAACACAAGCGAAGGCACGGAGCTGTCGCGAGATACGCGCCTTTAACTGGATTAAGCCGAGAAAAGCCGTTTTGGACGGACCGAGCTGAAGGCGGATGAGCGCAGCCCGCGGGAGGGCAAGTGTGTTTCTGCGGCGGGGTCCAGTCAGCGAAAGATGAACAAAAACCACCGAGTGCCGAGCAAAACCAACTCAAAGATTTACAGGTCTGCTTTATAATGGACAAGCCATGCTTAGCTAGTGATGGCATTACAGCTGACTGAGTCTCAATCCTCCCTTTACATTGTTTTTTTTGTTTGTTTGTTTGTTGCCAAACCACTTCAGAACTTATTACAAATCATGAAAGAATTTAGGCTGTCTCTTTTGACTAGTTAGTATTCATTTAATTTTTGCATCAGATATTTTGCCCATGATTTTCCTTGCTTATAAATAGATTCACAACCCTCTACGGAGACCTTGGCAACTGAATCGCCATTGGCTAGTAAAATTTTTAGTTTACTCGCCAGACTGCTAGCTATATATATATAATTAATGAGCTACTGGATTCATGAATATTAATCAGGTTGTGTGCGTTCGCTCGAACTGATTTGCTGAAATCAAAACAGGGACGATAATAGGTGAGCGCCAGCCAATGAGATTGCCGGAAGCGATGTTTTTTTTTTACGTTTTTTAGTGCGCCTTCACACTAGAGTTCACGGTACGTCAAATACAGGTGCGTTGCACATCCATTCAGATGAACTGAAAAATATCACAGATAGCTTGTCAGAGAGTGAAGCTCTGAAGCGCTCAGTCAGAGTGTTCGGCGAGTGAAAATATATCTGAGCTAAACTTATACTTAGCCTCCAACTCACACACTGGCGAGTAAAATCTGAGAATTGATTAGCCATTGGCTAATATTAGACATCATTTAGTCGCCCAGAGTGAAGATTTATTCGCATATGCGAGTGATTTACTCGCAATGTAGAGGGTTGATTCATATTTTTTTTTATTGCTACTGATGCTGCTATTCTATATTTAGTTACTCTATCCTAAAATATAATTCTTGCTTCCCCTTAAAAGGATAGTTCGCCCAAAAATTAAGATTCTATTATTCTATTATTACTACACAAATGGAAATATTTTTAATGGTACACTGGTTGCTTTTTTCTATATGCACAATATACTGGCACCATATTATTCTTGGATATTAAATCTCTTGAAGAGTGGTTTCCCGTTAAGAGCGCATGTTGGAGTGAGTTTTGCATGTGTCAGCAGTTTTCAGTGTGTTTTAATCTTCCTTTTTTTAACAAACTAGTATAGATTTGTAATACCAGGTGTTTATCAGTTGTCAGCTAAAACCTGAAAATAACGGTTTAATATATTGTTTTAAAATATGGTTTAAAATATAAATTTTATCCACAATTTTAGTATCAATGCATTCCTACTTTTTTCCATGCACAATGAATAGTGACTGGAACTTTCAAGCTTTATAGATGAAGCAAAAGTACAAAAAAAATCAGAAATGAAGTCCATGCGACTTATATTTAGCCAGATTTATCAGTGAAAAATTTAAATTGGTCTGTTTCGTTGTTATTTTAGTATTATTTATTATACAATTATACTACGTGTTAATATTTTGATTTAGCATTTATTTTCATATTTTCAGTTTTAATATTAATTTTTGTGCAAGTTTTAGCTAGTAATTTTGTTATGTGCTTTTGTCCTACAAAGGCATTATTTATAATTTGCAAGATTTTTAGTTGAAGTTTTTCATCTAATAGGCAATTTGTATTTTATTTTATTTCAGCTTTATTTCAGTTAACGAAACTGATTTGTAATAGTTTTAGACAAGTTGAGTTCGTCTTGTTTTGCTGTGTACTGATGTATGTTCCATGTTGTTAGTTTGGAGCAGAATTCAGGCGTTTCTCTTTGGACCGGTCCAAGCCGGGACGCTTTGATGAGTTTTATGGCTTGCTGCAGCATGTGCACCGGATCCCCAACGTCGATCTGCTTGTGGGTTACGCCGATGTCCACGGGGACCTACTGCCAATCAACAACGATGACAACTACCATAAAGCAATCTCCATGGCAGCGCCCCTGCTCCGTCTCTTCTTGCAGCGGAAAGGTGAGGGTTGTGTTTTTGAAGTGGGTCATTGGTCAAACTTCAGCTCAGTGTGTACCATATGTTACACACTGTGTATTATGTGACACAATACCCTCTACATCCCTTATGGTCACAACACTCACAGTTGTAGTTAATTTGTCCATCTGTATGGTGAGAATTTATATGTAGTTATATAATATGCACAAATGTTTTGACTGATAACACATGTGGAAGCGATAGCTGCTTCAGGAAGCTGTCAGACCAGAAGTGGTGCTTTTGTTTATATATCAGTTATATCAGATTATAATGTGACAGGTTATGTAGTCCTGGAGGAAGTGAGTTGTGTTCAGTAACATGGCTGCTAGTTAGCGTGGTTAAGTCTAAATTCAGGTAAGTTTTCTTCATGTAATCCTAACTAACAGCTGTGTTTAATGTTCCAGTTTGCAGTGAACAAATGATTGCTCATTTTATTGATACTGTATCTTCCAGTTTAATTACAGCCGTGCGATTATGATATTTAAGACATTTCATAAGACCTAGTTTATTTCATGATCTCCCTTGATGCATTTTTCGTTAACTAATATGGCCAAGTGTTTCATAATTTGGGTTAAAAAGTCTTAAGACTTTGAGACTTTGAACCCTCGACTGAGCTCACTTGAAAGCAACAATATAAAGTTAAAGGTCTGAACTCTGAACTGGTGACAGTTCACAGTTGTTGTGTGCTTTTGGTGTGGGGTGCCCCACTCTAAGCTGTGTCTGTGTGCCATATGACCTGTAGATGGTAAGCCACTTTGTCAGGCGGAGATTAGAGGGGTCACTGTGCACAATGTGTGGCCTGCGTTTCAATTACACGGCGACGCTAGCTCCATGCTGTGACCTGTTGCTATGGCAGAATATGTGACACGGAAGTACATGAGGATCCACCCACTTTTTAACTTCACACTATATCTTGTCACGTATGTTTTAGTTCTTTGAATGTATGCCTGTGGATGTAGGGGGTAAGCAGACATTATTCCAAAGGCTAGATCTGATGTTGCACTAAATGCTACATAGATTCATAAACTTCTGTTTCAAAACCTTTCTTGCTTTCCACTGCTTATAAGACAATGGCATTCTGAGGCAATACCATGACTAAAAAGGAGTCTATAAATAGGTCCAGGTAAAATCAAGATATTTTGTGGTGATTTTAAAGGGGTTGTTAAAAAAAGAAAATTCTGTGATCACGCAAAAGAAGATATTTTGAAGAACAGTTGATGGTCCACTTTGACTTCCATAGTAAGTAAAAAAAATACTATGGAAATCAGTGGGGACCCTTAACTGTTTTCTTTACCCACATTCTTCAAAATATTTTATTTTGTGTTCAGTAGAAGGAAGAAATTTATACAGGTTTGTAACAACTTGATGGTGAGCACATGATGATGGACTTTTCATTTTTGGGTGAACTATCCCTTTTAAGGGAAATTCTGTTGAATGCTATCATCTAAGCATAGTAAACAAAGAATGATAACTATATAATTGTCCATACCAATGGATGACAAGTGCTTTAATATGCACAAGCTCTTTGAACCTGGTTGGTTTCTGATTGGCACTCAGTGTTTTTATCATTTATCAGCTGGACAATCTTTCTGAAAGTTATTCTTATTGTTCCTCTGTGCCTTTGTTCCTCTGTGGTTTGAACTTCCCTATTTTCATAGAAATTATTATTTTCAAACTTCATAGTTATCGAAGTCATTCAATTTCAATTTTCAATTCAATTTAAGTGTGCTTTATTGGCAGGACAAAAACTATACATTTGTATTGACAGCAATTGCAGCTGGGCTGCTTACAAATAGTGCCAGCCCTCTACGAACACCTTGGCAATTGAATCGCCATTGGCTAGTAACTTTTTTTGTTTACTCGCCAGACTGATAAATATATACATACATATATACACACACATACATACACACACATATATATATATATACACAGACACACATACAGACATATACATACACCAATATACACACACAAACATATACATACACACACACACACACACACACATATATACACATATACACACACACATACACATAAACATACACACATATACACATACACACATATATATATATATATAT